GAGCCTTCAACAAAAGAGCCTACTCATTTTTAAAAGTCCGGCAACGCATCTGCAATTCCCCTGGTGATGCAGTTGTTCATGGGTGGCGGTAATCACTTACCATCAGATGAGCCGTACGCTCGTTTGCCCCCTCTCCTATAAAAAAGACATAGTGATGAATGAAAGTTTTTGTACATAATTATCACAATCTGTCAAAGTAAAATTTTAAAAGCTGTGATAATCGATTACCAAAGTGTTATTATGTGAGTTTAACTAGTTTACGCCGTGTTTGACATTCGACGCCGCTAGCCACCGCGGCCTTCTGTTTTGTTTTGGCTTGCGTCATAATTTCATGCAAGGGTAATCAAACCACATACAATTTACAAATATTTTTTTATTTAAATTTAATTATTAAAATAACCTAAGCGTCATCGTTATCAGATGGTAGCCTCAACAAAGAAAATGACGAGTCAATCAGGACAGGACTGTTCTAGAAGGTCCGAAACTATATCACAATGGGTGGACCCCACAGAGGGTAACCCACTGATCAAAATTCTCTCAAAGTCCAGATCATAGGTCCACACTGCGCCGTTTGAGTTGGGTCCTAATACAAGACTGTTAACGTTCCGAGTCATTCATCTGCTATATTATTAGTTTTTGTTTTCTTTTTATCCCAATAATTTCCTTTGCGTTTTTCCATATTATCTACCTGGAATGGACATTAAAATAAATGAACATTAATATTTGATAATTACAAAAACGATACATAATGAAATGCACATATCTAGTTAGTCTACTTACTCGAAGAATACTAATAATTTTAGCAGTCGTATCCGACACTCGCGACCCACCTTTATGCCAGGTTACTCGCATGTTCTCTATATAAAGCGAATTACGTGATGTTAACTGTTTCATATGTACGGGCAGCGGGGAAAGATTTCTGCCTAAAAATTAATGAATTTATTTTTAGATTATTGCTTTTTTATTTGAAATTGTTTTGTATTTCATCTCACGTTTACACCAAAAATATTTTCCGAAATAGTAACGAATAGCCTAGAAAATTCAAATAGAAAAGGCTGTTTTAGATGTGTTTACTGTTTACCATATTTGACGAATTTTTTTCTCGAAAATCAAGAATTTTTTATAAGTATTACGCGATGTAAGTGAAGACTCATCTGTTAACTATATTAATTGAGATTTTTTATGGTTTCATTTAATAAACTAAGTTCTTCAGTATTTTTAAAATCGTAACTGTCTATTTGTGCGTTTTTTAAGGACGGGCCTCTTAAGTTTTATTCTGTTCGTTTAAACTATAAAAAAATTAAATTTTATAAACGCTATTTGCAAACGAAATAAAAAAACTTCTGATATAAAATAAGTATTTTGTTTATTAAGTACTTATTATTAACTTAGAAAAAAAACATAACTTAATAATATGCACTTTATTACTAATTTCAAATTTTAAAGCAAAGAAAACAAATGCGTCACAGGACGGGACTATGAACTCTTCCCCGATCCAAGAAGTATGAGAATGTCTGCCTACAATGATAGATAGATAGTCATATAACTCTTTATTGCATTTGAACAAAGTTATTACAATAACGGAAAACTTATGACTGCAAACGGTGGTCATATCGCTTTAAGCGATTTCTGCCTGACATACCGAACGTAAAAGGACATTATAATTTTATATTTTGACGGATAGGTGCAACGAAATAAACATGAAAAAAAATTATTAAGGATAATATTTATAAAAATATATTAATAATATATACAATATTTAATGATTATAAATATATATATATATATATATATATATATATATATATATATATATATATATATATATATATATATTTATATACATACTTATAATATAGATATATACATATATATGTATAATAATTTTAATTTAATATATTCAAACATATACTGCAGAGAAAATTTAACAAAAAAAAATCAAGTATATATGAGAAGAGAAAATACATATAATTTATTATTATGACGGGAGCTTCAAATAATACTCCTTAAGTAGTTTTTTAAAAGACTGTAAAGATTGCGCTTTCTGAATGTTAAGTGGTAATGAATTCCAAAGTCGCGTTGCTAGTGAAGTAAATGATTTATTATAAAATGATGTACACTGAACGCAAATTGCGGTTGTGAACTTCATGTCGATAGTGAAATTGTTCCTTAAGGTACCTTGGAGATTTCGGATCAAACAGTACACAAAAAGTAAAGAGAGTATATGAACATTCCGGCGAAGGCGAATAGCGAGCCACTTGAGTTGATTTCGAAATTGGGATACATGATCATATTTGCGTAAACCAAATATGAATCGAATGGATATATTCTGAAGACGCTCAAGCTTGTTTAATTGCTTCATGGTAATATCAGTGTAACATATGTCAGCATAGTCTAAAATAGGTAACAAAATGGAATGTGAAAACGCAATTTTGGTAGAAATGGGCAGGAAATTTCGGAGTCTCTTAAGACTTCCACAAGCTGCAAACATTTTCTTGCTTATCTGTTCAATTTGAGGTGCCCAAGACATTGTACTGTCTATTAGAACCCCTAGATTTTATACAACCTTACTATAAGGAATAATAGAATTCTCAAAACAAGCAAAGGGCAGCGTATGCCATGTAATTTTTTGTAGTAGTTTGCTGCTACCTATCACTATTACCTGTGTTTTACTAGGGTTAACCTTGATTCCATAAGATGTGCAAAATTCAGAAATAATTGAGAGATCACGATTTATGGATAGCACAGCGGATGGAAGATTTTCAATACTTGTTTGAGAATATATTTGGAGATCGTCTGCATAAAGATGTTAGAGCGAAGAAATTCCTATAATATCCTTTTTTATATATACATTTCATTGAATGTCATATATGTTATGCATGTACCCAGCCGTGGACCAAATTATATTGGCTGTATATTATAATATATAACCCGCTTCAGGTAATGCGTGGTAGATCGTGGAAACTATGCCAAATATAAGGCAATCAATGGGAGGACCTATGTTCAGCAGTGGACTTAAAACGCTGTAATGGTTATCGGATAAAAGTAAGAAAATTATATTTGCTGGTCCAATTCAAAAACATTGCGTTGTAAGCAGCAAGCAAAGTAATTATTTACATATTTTGTGTCTGTTATATCTCTCTTATAATTAAACCTTACGATACTTTAAAATACTTACAGCGCCATCTATATAAAATTATAATAGTCATCTTATTATGAGAGTAAAATAAAAATAAAATGATATTTAGAAAGGAACGGGTAGGAATAATTTAAAAACAAATCAAAGTCGGGTAACGTAATTTTTCAATTTTACTACAATATAAATTTTAAAACTTTTAGAACTGGAAAATGGAAGTATAACATCGAACTATATTACCTAAGTACTCGTAGTAATACCTCGGTGGTATACCTATGGATGTCTACTGCCAAGCTCCTATTATCCTCGCCGAAACCAAATAAATTGTCATTAGCTCTTTTAAAATTTGATTTACCACCTTGTAGGTACTCGGTACTACTAGTGTAGATAATAAATTACAGTTAAGAAAATAATTATATGCAAACCTACTTATTTAAAGTTTAATAAATAATTTGCACAACGCCATCTATTGATGACATTGGTTAACTATTATACTTTGTTCACTAAGATACTAGGGTTTATAATTTTTTTTTACAACAACTAAAATACATACTAAACAAAGTTCATAAATACAGTGCAACATAAACCTATATAAGATTTTTCTGCACACTGCAGTTCGCCGTCTTTCGAGCTCAAACAAATATTTTATAAATATCAATTATGCTACTCTTTGTTATTTTTATTTACATTATAAAACTTACTATAGAACATTATTTTACACTATTTAATTACAAAAACGCCGTTGATCACTTCACTCCACCATTGAACAAATTCGTACCTATACTTCAGAATATTAATCATAACGTTAGATAGGATGAACCGATTTTAATAAAACAAAGACTAAATGTAAAATGAAGATACGCTTCACAATTATCCCCACGATTATATTTAGATATAAATCAGTACTTTATACATGATATAGACTCCAAGTCCTCTTATATCGATTAAAATTATTTTAATGGATTATAAAAATTTAAATAAATTTCGGAATTTTTTATATTATTAAAAAAATTAAAATGATCTAAAACATTTTCGATCAATACAATCATTTGCAAATATTTATGAACATTTAAATATATTTTATTATTTTTTTAGAAAGCATTAGAAACTTTTGAAACCATCTAGATTATAGAATACACAATAGAATGGCTGTCAACCATATTTTGTACGAGGATCGGCGTCGCCGTGAGCACACATACAATAAATTACGTCATATTATCACTACTATAAACCCGATTTGCACACAAAATTTTATGAAAATCGTTGGAGCCGTTTCCGAGATTTCAATTATATATATATATACAGGGTGTCCCAGAACTCAACGTCAAGCCGAAACAGGGTGACAGGAATGATTGTTACGATCATGAGAAAAATCAGAAAAAAAATCTATCCCATGCAGTTCGGAAATTATGGGCATTTAAGAAAAATCTAGAATTTTGGTGAAACTGTAACCATTTTTCGGTTTTTGTGGTTAATTTTCATTATTTTTGTTCATTTAAACTTTGGAACCGTAACCCTAAATAACATTTCTAGAACAACAGTCAAAAATAATGACACAACTGCCCCAAGTTTTCTAGAATTAAGACTATTTGTTAAACTATGAATTTAAAATTTTTTTACATTTGTTGACTTTGAAAGGTCCTCCTTTAAAAAAAATATACTAAAGTATGTTGGCAAGTGCCATTAAAAGTTTGCGCATTTAACCAGCATTGTAAAATGGTATAATACTTGTTAGTTTCATACTAAAAAAAACTAGTTAAAAAATAAAAACATCGAGTAACCCGATTTTTGCTAACCCATTTTACTCAGTTCAAATGTTTTTTATTCACACACGCTCTTGGTAGGTTCTTAATTTTACGGAAAAATGATAAGAGAGATGGATAATAGACATGATTGCCGTGAGCGACCGAAACAGATAGTGACGCCACGCAATGAGACGGAGATGCGTCTGACACCAGTTAGTACGATTCGCTCATTCGCCTACTGCGCACCTTTCTGTATTCGCTTGTGTTGATTTAGTAATGACAACTTGGCTTCTCTTTTTGGACTTAGATTATTGTGAATTGGACTTGTTGATTACATACCGGGCAACTTTAGCTTCTCTCTTTTGGAATTGCACTTTTGTGTTGGCATCCTTGTTATCTACCATGCCTACGCGCTACACTTCACAAGAATATGCCAACATGCACCTCATTTATGGGGAATTCAGATGCAACGCAAGTGCCGCCGCTAGACTTTATCGTGAAAGATATCCAACTTTAGAGCGCTATCCGGATCATCGCGTGTTTGTTAATGTGCACCGTTCACTTACGGAGGGCGGCCATTTCCCGAATCAATAAGGGCTGGAGGTAGAGCTCGCTTTCCTTACGAGGAAGAAGTGCTGCAAGAGGTCGCAGATGATCCAAGTATTTCCGTTCGTGGAATTGAAGAAAGAACGGGAATACCCAAAGCACATCACATCGTATTTTACAAAGAGCCGACATGCATCCGTTTCACGTACAACGCGTTCAAAGTCTTCTTCCTCGAGATTATCCTGAAAGGATTTCATTTTGTAGAACAATGCTACAGAGGCATAACGAAAATCCCCAATTCATCCAAAAAAATTCTCTGGTCAGATGAATCTACATTTAAAAAAAGATGGTTACATAAACTTACACAATTTTCACGAGTGGCATGTGGCGAATCCACATTTAATGCGAGAAGACAGATCCCAGTATCGCTTTAAAGTAAACCTGTGGACCGGAATTTTAAACGGCAAAATTGTTGGGCCTTTTGAGCTGCCTGAGAACTTTAATGGCACGAATTACTTACATTTTTTACGAGAAAATTTACCAACTTTGTTAGAGGACGTACCACTAGCAGATCGTCGCCACATGTGGTATCAACAAGATGGCTGCCCAGCGCATTACGCGGTGCAAGTAAGAGATTTTCTTGACCAGGAATATCCGGGAAGGTGCATTGGACGTTCAGGCACTATCTCGTGGCCAGCCCGTTCCCCAGATTTAAATCCCCTGGATTTTTTTTATTGGGGCGTTCTCAAAGAAAAAGTTTATTCAAAGCCCATTGACAGGGTGGCCGAGCTGCGTGAACGAATTTCTCAAGCTGCTGAGGACATCAACTCTCGAGGATATGCCCGACTAATAACTAGATCATTTTAAGGAGATGTAGGGCGTGTATTGCGGCTGATGGTAAACCATTTGAACACTTATTGTAATAAAAAAATGTTATTTCCCTATCTGACTTTTATTCCAATAAACCTAAACTAAACTAGGTCAAGATTTTTCATTATTTTGTTAATTTTACTTACTTTTGTTGACTTTTATAAAATTGGCGTCACTATCTGTCTCGCTCGCTCATGGCAAACATCTCCACTATCCATCTCTCAAATCAATAAAAACATTTGAACTAAGTAAATTGGGTTACCAAAAAATCGGGTTACTTGAGGTTTTTATTTATTTACTTGTTTTTTTTTAGAATAAAACCAACAAGTATTATACCATTTTACAATGCTGGTTAAATGCGCAAACTTTTAATGGCACTTGCCAACACACTTTAGTATATTTCTTTTTAAAGGAGGACCTTTCAAAGTCGACAAATGTAAAAAATTTTAAATTCATAGTTTAGCAAACAGTCTTAATTCTAGAAAACTTGGGGCAGTTGTGTCATTATTTTTGACTGTTGTTCTAGAAATGTTATTTAGGGTTACGGTTCCAAAGTTTAAATGAACAAAAATAATGAAAATTAACCACAAAAACCGAAAAATGGTTACAGTTTCACCAAAATTCTAGATTTTTCTTAAATGCCCATAATTTCCGAACTGCATGGGATAGATTTTTTTTTCTGATTTTTCTCATGATCGTAACAATCATTCCTGTCACCCTGTTTCGGCTTGACGTTGAGTTCTGGGACACCCTGTATATATATATATATATATATATACAAGAATTGCTCGTTTAAAGGTATAGGATTATTAGTAAACAGTGTGCAATTTGACATTTTCGAAATAATTTGCATGCGAAATTTGGAAACGATTGTAACGTCAAAACACATCTCGCGTTGACATTTATACGTGTGAGTTGACATGTTAGTGATATTTTAGTGGCTACACGGGCTACACCCCCCTCCCTCATTCTATTTTGTATGTATTATAGTATTCTATGATCTAGAATGATCTAATGCGTCTGGAATAATCTAGAACATTCTGGGAATGTCTGAAATATTGTAGAAAAGTTCTCGATATTATCACGCACAAACGTAATTTACGCCATCTAGCACAGTCTTGAGCTTACACGCGTGTTGTGTTTTACAATGTGTTAGAAAAGTATAGAAGCATCTCATTACACATTTTTGCCACCCACATCCACCCACTTCCACCCATAGCAACCAAACTCCCTTACTTGCGAGTGCACACTTGAGGCCTTCTACCACTGCAACCACAAGTGGGTTGCAGTGGGTGGTCATGGAGAAAACGCTGGACATACAGACGAACTTTTTTTATTTTATTTTATAGTACCCGGTTGACCGAGCTTTTCTCGGTATTTTTCGCTCGGTTTTTTTTTTAATTCGTGTGTTTTGGAAATTATATTTAGATACAAATTACATACTGATGAAATACGAATAATATTTTTTGATCTTAGTGACATAATAGAAAAAACTGAACTGGTTATTTGAATAAAAAATCATGAGTGCAATTAGTTTAATTTAAATTTTCATGTTTTTAAAAAATACTAAAAAAGGGCTCGAAAAAATAGATTTTCTCAAAAAAGAAAGGAACTTGAAAAAAAAATTTAAAAAAGTCGGTCGGTCGGTCTGGGCTTACGATTTTGTGATCGCCCAATATACCAATTAAGCTATTTGTAATCATTAATAAAGTGGCAAAATTTACCTTCTTTTCTAACGATATTGTAGCAGGTTTTTCATTGCCTAAAAACACGGACAAAAAGACATTTTCTAAAGATAAATCCTAGCTAGATCGATTTATTGCCCCCGAAACATCCCTGCACACAAAATTTTGTGAGGGAGCACACAAAAATCGTTGGAACCGTTTCCGAGATTCCGATTATATATATATATATATATATATATATATATATATTAAGAATCAAAATTCAGATGCGCTGTCACTCCTGAGGACTAAGATAGAATGCCTCTTTTCCAGTAAAAACGGTATCCGGTTCCTTCACTCACCACACGATACACAGCAACATTAAGCTGCTATTTTACGCTGGGATTCTGTGAGAGAAGATCAAAGTATATTTGTTTAATCTGGTCACTTAAATTTTATATTTTATAGATGGCCGCCTTTGTGCAAAGTGTATATTTTTGTAAAATATAATATATAGTTATATTTAGAAAGGAGGAGAATGCGACATAACTTCATAGAATTGATCACTTTACTATTATTTATAGTTATTGTATTTAATCCGTATAGAGAATATCTTCTTATATACAAAAATCAATTGCTATCCGTTTGTCTTGATAAAACTAGAAAACGGCGCGAACGATTTTAATGAAATGTATTGTGTGCGTTTGAGTGGGTCCCTTGACGGTTTAGATTCAGAATTAGTCTCGGTGTTGTCAATATCCAGATAAGCCTCGTGCAAAGCCGGGGCGGATCGCTAGTTTATGAGTGAAACCCATATATTTTACGAAAGTATTTAAAATAAAACATTTGTAGGGATTTACGTCAGTCAAGAAGAATTGCTACACGCCAATGTGGAACGAGCAAATTGTTTTCACGGAAATGTTCCCGCCGTTATGCCAGCGGATCAAAATTCAGCTAAGAGACAATGATCCAGTGCAGCCTAATATCATCGGCACCCATTTCATCGATCTCAAAACGATTTCAAATGATGGAGAGAGAGGTAAGTATTTTTCTATATAAATACAGTACCTACTTAAAAGAATCAATCTTTATGGAATAAGTGTCGTCCAACCTGATGGTAAATTGCCACTGTGGCATATGGATATCTACATCTATCGAAAATGGGTTGTAACCCCTGAGATCTAAGATGGAATGCCTCGTTTCCAATAAATGAAAACGGTTTCCGGCTTAGAGACCGAACTCTACACTCACCATAGGAAACACAGTAGCACTATGCTACTAATTCACGCTGGTATTCCATGTGAGCTTGGTTCTTCTTGAAATGTTCATTAACGTATTTAACGGAAGGGCGGGCTACCCCTGGATATAATTAAAATAATTAATTAATTAAACATGCTGTATTTTAAATAAAAATGTTTCGAGAACAAAGTATTTATTTAATTTAATTTAATTAAAGAAACATTCCGAAAATTGATGGCGAAATAGCTCAGCAGTTCACTTTGAAATTGGTTTCACTTTTTTGGTTATATTGGTCATCGCTTTTGAGGGGCTGAACTCAATATGGAAATTTACTCTAAAGACATCAACGAAAATGTTCAGCAGTCTTCTTTATAATGGCAGAGAATGATAACAAATTTTTTATTATAAGATTTACTCTGAATATCTTTTATTAATATATTATACTAATTATTACTACTGCTGCTTCTTATATTGCATTTATAACAAAATATTTTTCTACTTCCTTTAGGCTTCCTACCAACATTTGGCCCAACTTACGTTTATCTGTACGGATCTACACGAGATTATAGCCTAATTGATCAGCATTCAAACTTAAACAAGGGTATGGGTGAAGGTGTTTCTTACAGAGCTAGGTAATAAGATTTTCGATTATACATTTAATACTGCATACAAGATAAGCAAAGTTATCGAATAAATTATTTACAGAATTCTGATATCAATTCGTACCGAGATTATGGATAGCATAGAAGGCCCAGCGTCTGAAGTTGAAGTTGAACCGATAGCTCCTATTAATATGTCATCATTTGAAAAGAATGAAGAATTTTTTCTCTTTGGTAGTATTTTTGACGCTAACATGATCGACAAACACCTTGTCGACAAGCCGTTGCAATTTGAACTAAGTGTCGGTAACGCTGGTAATTCACTCGATGGACATAATGAGTCTGTCAAGAGACCTCACGATTTGGAATGTGAACAACTTGGTATGTAGAAATTTAAAAAGACAACATTTGAATTATAATACATTTTTAACGAATTAAAATGTATCATATCCATAATATTATTTAAAAAAATATATTAGTAACAAACAAATTAAGTCATTCTACTGGTAGAACTAGTCCGAGTAACAGTGCTAGTAAACAGTCATAGTTATAAGTTGGTAGCAAGTAGTAACCATGGCAGAAGAGCAAGATGGCTCTCTTACCTTTCAAACTACCACAATAGTATTCCCATCACTCCTGCCTATCAGCAGGAATACGTGGCTTAAACTGAAAAGTTTAGCGTAACTCATAAATAAAACATTTTATAAAAATATGTAAATTAATATTCCCTGCTTTTTATTCATTCTTCATTACATTTTAAACACTTATTCATTCGTTCAAGGTATTTTTTAAAAATCACAAGGACCATTGGTTTGAGGAAATGTTAGGACCACTGGTTTGAGTAAATGCTTTATACGTGCCGATTGAAAAGTACCACGGCCTCTTCTAGCTCCCTAAATAACAAACCTTCCCGCCAAAAATTAAAGATAGATAATGAGTGAACATGTTTTAAAAATATAACATTCGAATTTCAAACGTTTATGAACAGCGGAGCGCATAAATTTCAGTTGCACTCTATGTAATTAAAAGAGTAACTACTACCTTCACTACTAGACAAAAAAGTTACACACTACACTACAACATAGAAAATTAACCTTTTTCTTCAGCAGTTCTTAAAAATCATCTGTTAGTCACCCGTTGTAAAAAAAGGCGCCAGACTTGGTAGCCGGCGGCCGCAGTATCAGATGCTTTGCTCCTCTGACGCTACTGTATCCTTTACTGGGTATTTTACGTCCAGCATATACGACTTGACCATACACAACCACCCACTACCATTTATCGGGAGGCATGAAATCTTTCTGACTTTTTCCATTATCACCTCTTACGACCTGGGTATCGTAAGAGGTGAAAAACAAACAAAATCTTGTGAAGGAGGTGAAAAACAAACAAAATCTTGTGGAGGATCCCTCTTATGATATAAAAAATTGTTAGGTCAATAAATAAATTAATCCGTATTATTATACAAATACTAGCTTTTGCCCACGACTTGGTTCGCATAGAAGGAAATGGTTCTAATAGGATTTTTAATTGGTTTTTTACGTTATTAATTTCGTTACAACATATTTATTTTTGTATAATTTCTTAAGAACTTTGACTTACTACGCCCATTTGAATCAAACGGTTTGCTTCATCGTTCGTTATTTATACCGACAGCAAAGGAGTAGAATAATTTGCCAGCAATTGTCTTTCGATACAAAAAAATGTGGGCCACCCACATTTTAAGGCAAAAGTGATTAGGTTTGGTTGAGCTAAGTGAGTGCGCTTTACCATCTATAGCAACACCACTTACCATCAGGTTCTTATAGTGAAGCACTGGCTTAGAATGGTAAATAAATAAATAAAACATTTACGATACAAGACACTGTTCATACGCTTCTAAATTGTTATTACATAGGTTAAAATAATCTTTGATATTTTAGATGAATTAAGTGCCGATACGGGGTACTGGCAAAGTGTTACTCAACCAACTAAAGCGACTTCAGCAGATAAGAATTATTACTATCTTCCATACTGGGATCATAAACAGTGTATGCACGTTCGCAGCATTTGGCCTGATCATCGCAGACGCATGTATAACTCCAACATGATTTCGAATATCGTGGATAAATTTGTAAATATGAATTATTTTTTATTTAGCACTACAATACAATATGTATAATAATTTAAAATTATTTTTAGCAACGATTTGAAGCCAGAACTTTAATTACAGAGTTGGTTTATAATTTAACTTTTTAAAATTTCTTTAAAAGTGTTTGTTTACAAATCTTATACTTCTAATTACTTTAATGTACTATTAAAATTTTTATAAAATCTGGGTATCATTGTGGCATTTATAATGTTTGTTAATGACATGCATTTTTAAATACAATAAAAGTTTCATATCATGTTTATTAAATTTTCGTATACAGGAAGAGGGGCTGTCAGATGTTCAAATGGCTATTGAGGCTGACGGTGGACCGAATAACACATGCGTAGCAGCCCTAAAATCTTCTCTGGAATCCGTTAGCAAATCCTGTGCTGCTTATGTTCACCATATGAGTAGTTCTCCACCCATCGGCAATACTAAACTTGATCGGGAGAGACTTAAAATGTGTATCTATGAAGTTGTACGTTAACTTTCGCTCACACTTTCATAATTCAATTTTATATAAATAATTTAGATCGTAAGATTAACTTATTTTTATAAACAGGACCAGATAAGTGCTTTGACGAAAAATCTAAGGGCACTCATTACGAAACATTCTATCAAAGACCGCATCAGTACTGCTTTCAATTATTTGAAGAGACTTAAACAAATCTGCGAAGATGTGAGTGGCTAAAATTTAAAATGATTGGCTAATGATAAAGAATTTTTTCTGAAGTTTTAATATTTTTCTGCTTTAGTCACAGCCAGCAATGCCTGATGTGTTTATATGGATGATAAGTAACGGAAAGCGCTTAGCTTACTACCGAATTCCAGCCAGAGATATTATTTACTCTGAATATTCTGAAGAGTCTGGTAAATTCTGTGGAAAAATGCAGACACTGTTTCTGAAGGTAAATTAAAAATAAGCATTTCTACGTTACCTTTTTCAAGATTTATTTATTAATAGTTTTATGATGCGGCTTTGCTCATATAAATCCAGCATACCAACATAAAAATAATGTTACCCTAACCTAGGATTTTCTCCTGTAGCGCAAAGATAGTTTTAATACATAAATTCACTAGAAGACATCCAGACCCAGAACAATCATTTGTATGCCATACAAATACTTGCTACGTGCGAGATTCGAACCCATAACCCTCAGCGACACAACTCATTTCTAAGCCACTATGCCACGGAGCCGTTAGTTTGGGTTTCATTTTAATAATATCCTGCTGTCACCCATCGTACCTCCAAAAGTATTGACCAAAATCTAGAAAATCACGATTATGGATTAATAAGGTAATAGATTTAGGGAAAATTCTCATAATATCGATGTCTCTTATTTATTTATTTAGAAAAAATAATGTATCGATTTTATATATATTATTGACCCTATCGATTGGTGATATAAAATACAGGATGTATTTTCATATTCATGTCCATGCAGTTCTACTTCTAATCCTAAGCCACTCTTAAAAAAGACGGATACTTTAACACGCATCATCTGAACTGCTGACAACTCTCAAATCCGCATCTAATGCGAGAAGAAAGATCACAATACCAGTTCAAAATAATTTTTTGGACTGGTATATTAAACGGAAAAATCATTGGTCCATTTGAACTGCCCGGAAACTTATCTGGACAAAGTTATTTGAATTTTCTACAAAATGATCTGCCAAATTTAATGGAAGACGTGTCTGAGGAGATGAGAAAATTCCACTGGCTACAAAATGATGGTTGTCATGCATATTTTGCTGAAAACGTCCGTGTGTATTTAAATGCCACGTATCCAAATAAATGGATGGATCGTTTAGGTCCTATTTTGTGGCCTCCGCGATCCCCGGACTTAAATTCACTAGATTTTTTACTGGGCCTGTCTAAAAGAACAGGTATACTTAAAGTTTGGAGATATTGCGTAGTCGTGTGCAGGACGCCGCTTCAAAAGTAACTGAACGGCGCTACGCACGACTTCTTAGAAGAGCACTTCTTAGAAGATGTCGAGCTAGTATCTGAGTCGGGGGCAGACAATTTGAACACCTGTTATAAAATAAAGATTGATTTATGTACAACTTAACGCTTTTATTATGACAATTTAAGACAAGATTATATTTTTCTTTCTTCGGTTGAATTTATTATTTTTGCATCTTAATGTTAAATAAAATTATGTATTATACCATTTTGTAAACTGTATGAACTGCAAATATTTTTGAAATATGTTGGTCACTTAGGTCTACATACTTTTTTTCACGAATGGCTCTCAAACTTTTGTCAAAATTATTTTTTTATATTTTCATTTTTTTTTTTTTATATTATATTCATGCTAAAAATTGAAGGTTTTTCTTTTGCAAAAAAGTACAATAGATACTCATACTCTTTACTGCATTTCTAATGGAATAGTTTAAGAGGAATAACGGAACACCAAAAACGCAACGAATTGCATTAATTTGCGGCTGTGGTGTACATGAAAGTACAATAAGGTCAATAAAAACATTTTTTTTGAAACCTTCATATTTTTGGCACTACTTGGAATATTTATTTTTGTATTTTTATTTGAGCGCCTGATACCTGTGCCTGTATCTGTAGGCGCTTCTGGATTATCCATTCCTTCTGGGCCACAGTGTATATATAAATATATACAGTCTCAGACGGAATGGATATATATATATATATATATATATATATATATATATATATATATATATATATATATAAGTTGCTTACACGTTAATGTTTAGTCTTTCATTTTAGTGGCCCGGGAAAAAGGCAAGCACACCAAGAGGATGGACCATTCCAGCTATGATTAGAGTATACCTCTGGTTAGGGATCTTGCAAGACAAAAAACATTATATTGATGGCCTTCCTCATGGTTTTGAAATTAGTTCGGAGATACGAAATGCTGAGAAGTTACGATCAAACGCTCCGAATACTATATTTTATGCAGAAAAACACGTAAGTAAAATTAAATTTTAAATTATTATACATATATTTTAAAAAGCATTATAAAATATATTTCATTCCAGAACTTTCAAATGCGGGCATATATTTATCAAGCTAGATCTTTAATTGGTTCAGACTCCTCTGGTTTATCTGATCCTTTTGCCAGAGTCATAATTGGAGATAGTACTTCAACCACTCAAATAATAGATGAAACTTTGAGTCCTACTTGGGACGAGCTACTTATATTTGATGACATATTACTATACAGTACTATTGAACAAATTAAAGTAGACCCACCCACAATTGTCATAGAAATATTTGATCAAGACAAAGTTGGTAAATCAGAGTTTATAGGACGCACATTAGCTAAACCAGCGATTAAGGCCTTTGAAGATAGTTATAAAAGACCACAATTTCCACCATCTTTAGAATGGTATGAAATTACTAGAGGTGATGATAGAGCGGGTGAACTATTAGCCACTTTTGAATTGCTTGAGATTCCACCCAAACAAGATGCATCCATTTTACCTGAGCTCCCTTCACCAAGAGAACCTAGTGGAAAGCCTCCATTTGACATGAATAAAGGCCCTATTTTGCCAGTACCCAAAGGAATACGCCCAACGCTTTCGAAGTATCGTATTGAAGTCCTATTTTGGGGCTTACGTGATTTGAAACGCGTTCATTTACTAACGGTAGATAAGCCAAGAGTTGACATTGAGTGTGCGGGAAATATTTTATATTCTACTCTTATACAAAATGCTCAACGTAATCCAAACTTCACAAAACCTGTGAAATATGTAGACGTGGAATTGCCGGATCAGGAATTGTATAGACCGCCGTTGACAATTCGAGTAGTCGATTGTCGCAGTTTTGGCAGAATGACATTGGTTGGAACACATACCATTAATTCCATTCATAAGTATATATACACACCAATGAGTAAGCGTGAAAAGGAAATCGAAAAGCGAAAAAAATCTTTAATCCAATTGCAAAACGTGGATTTGCGCAGAAACTGCTTAATTCAAGACGATATTTTAACAATTGAAAATGAGAAAGAGAGCTCTCCACTTTTATTGCATAACGATCGTCATACTATCTCATATGGCTCTAACATTAAAACAGGAGCTCGCAAGAAAATAATGAAACGTGAAACTAGTAAGAAACGCAAAGTCAGCACTGATTCAGTATTAGAAGATGACGAAAATAGCAAAGATTGGTGGACAAAGTATTTTGCTTCTGTTGGATCAATGATTGAAGAAGAAAAGGAAGCAAAAAGAGAGAGGGCGGGGTTTCTCCGAGCGCCCTTGTCTTCAATTGCAGATGATTATAGATGTACTCATGAAGACTGGAATTCATCACAGGTACAACATGAACGCCATACACGACAAAAATCACACTCTCCTAGAATAAAGATAAGTCCTATATTGTCAAAGAAAAATGAAATACCAAGATCAGCTTTGACTAAGGTAAGGTTCAATTTATGAAACACTTATTTTATTTATAGTCTTACAAATCAAACGTCTTTGAGCCTTATTATTAACGTCTTACTATTACTCCGCAGGTTTATCCTCATGAGTTGGAAGCGGTACCAGAATATGAAGAATTTAAAGAGTGGTTACATTCATTTGAATTGTACCGAGGAAAAAAGACTGGTGATGACACCGAAGACGAAAACCGTGTAGTCGGTGTTTTTAAGGTAACATAAAAAAAAATTCAATAGATTTTACATGTCTCCGATGTGATGCCATGAATATTACTTTTTTATCACATATACATAACTAACCTGTTCGTTCTTATTTAAGGGGGCTATAAAATTTTACAAGTGGCCAATACCAAAGGAAATCGACGATCATACTGTAATGGGATTTGATCCAAATCACGGATTTTTCCAAGGAGTCCCGAGTAACGAACCAATCCATGTTTTAGTTAGAGTTTATATAGTGAGAGCCACTGATTTACATCCAATGGATTTGAATGGAAAGGCCGATCCATATATTGCATTGCACATGGGCTCTAAAAGAATAAGCGATAAAGAAAATTACGTGTCAAAACAATTAAATCCGGTTTTCGGAAAATGTTTTGAAATTGAAGCGACCTTTCCACAGGACTCCATGCTGACGATTCAAGTTTTAGATTGGGACTTGCTTGGATCTGACGAGTTGATTGGAGAAACGAAAATTGATCTTGAAAATCGTTTTTACAGCCGACATAGGGCAACATGCGGACTGCCCAAGAAATATGAAGAGTACGTACAGTTACTCGCGTATATTTTAATCTGAGTTTCACAGTCAGAAACATTGAGATTATAGCTAATAGATATAATCTTGAAAACTCACAATATTCGTTTTGTTTATTGGGAAGCTCAGAATAACCGTTAATTGTGAAATAGTAAACTCATAAATGATACCTTTTATCATAAATTTTTAAAGATGTATGGTTCAGTAGTATTTACTTTCTTCTTGATGAAAATCATCAAAATATTTTATGAATTTTTCAAGTAAAAATTAAAATAACACAAATGTTTCAGGCAAGGTTATAATAAATGGCGCGACGCGATGAAACCAACACAAATTTTAGCAAAGCTTTGCAAAGATGGAAAATTGGACCCACCAATTTACGAGCACGAACAAGTTAAAATCGGATGTGCTATATTCAACATGCCAATAGACGACATTGAACTCTTTTCCAACCCTGATACCATTGAAGAACAAATGGCGTTGGTTGTTCTTCACCGCTGGCAAGAAGTACCGCGTGTTGGCACAAGTCTGGTTACTGAGCATGTGGAAACCCGACCTTTGTATAATCCCAACAAACCGGGTACGAATGATTTGTTATGATTTTTTCCTAAATTCTAAAGAAAACTTGGTCGGAGACCGGAGGACCGGTCGGAGAAAACGGTCAAAACATCACAATTTATGTGAATATTTAATTCACATAAATTGTGATGTTTTGACCGTTTGTAAGTTACTAACTGTGCAGAAAATATTATAGTGCAAAATTTTACGTGAGTTGAAGTCATAGCCACAACGCCTGATAAACCCTCTCCGAAATTTTATTAATAGTTTTAGTCAAAACTTAAAAAACACTAAGACTATAAATTAACATTTATTAATAATTAAAATGAATTTTATATATATATATATATATATATATATATATATATATATATATATATATATATATATATATTACCTATTGATTTGAAAATTCTAACGTTCATTTTTTAGTTCTTTCGTTATTTAATTTTAGTAGAAATAAATAAATTTTATAGTAACTAATTACTGCTTGAATAGATAACTCTGATATCTATCGAAAATCATTAAACTCTTATTATCCTTATAGTTTAAGTAAAGAGATTTTTATATGTATGTGTATTGATCCAGATCTTAGAATTTATAATATCATGAATTAGTCGATTATTGCGTGAAATGCGGTATTTCATAAAAATTAACAATGTTTGTTATTTTCATTCGGTCATAACCATTTTTTTTAAAACACTTCCTTTTTGGAGGCGTGCTTTAACCAAAATCATTATTTTTTCGAAACGATGTTCATTATATCCATTTTGGCGCGAAATTTAACTTACATTTCGAAAATTAAAAAGAAATCGTCTCGTCCGAATAGCAACTGCACAAAATATAGAGTACTCTATTTTATGCAAGCGGTATAACAATTGAATTTAGTACTCTTCAATGGTTATAACGTCATATACCAATTGTGATTGCACCGGAATTTTGTGTCTCGTCCCAGATTTTTAAACCCACTGATTTACAAAGCTTCCTTAGACTGTTGGAATGATTCGACTGTTAGTTTATTGGTATTGGTATTATAGGTTTTTTTGTAAATAAAATATACATTTATTATTTTCATCCAAAAAAAATAGTTAAAGTTACAGTTATATATGTTACAAATTTCTCTGTGGTTAATCATCACGTGTTTATATTATAAAGACAAATCAGGTAAAGAATAGCTATTTTCCCTGGCTTCAAGCAGGTGATTTCTGGATCTCGACACCGGATGCTAACTACCGGGTCCAATTGAGTTTTTAAACCAGTTAAAAACTCAATTGGACCCGGTAGTTGGCATTTTAAAAACTCAATTGGACCCGGTGGTTGGCATCCGGTGTCGAGGACAGGGCCCTACTCAAATTACACACAAAAAAAATCATCAAAATCGCTCGAACCGTTTCCGAGTTTCAGCGAGACTAACGGACAGATTTTTATATATAAGAGAGAAGAAATAGAAGATAGTTACGTATATTTGATTAAGTATATACATAGCTGTACATATGTAAAGTTAATTTATATAATATATAAAAATTACGTGTCACATTGTTTGTACGCGATGAATTCCTAAACTACTGAACTGATTTCAATGAAATTTTGCACACTGTGTGCATTTTTTCCAACTTCATAGATAGGGTGGTTTTTAAAACGATAAGTAACTAAGCGTTTATTGCGAATTCAAGGATTTTTTATTTATCGTGTGAAGGACTGAGGTATATCATTGTCATGCTCGCTTCAAGGTCTCTGATAACAGAGGCGTTGTTGGATAAGTAGTTCACTTCCCTTTAATATCGAGAGGTCGAGGAGGGCGATGGCTGCGTTACTCCTGTGAACTCTGTGAGCTATTTGTGGTGTTGGTCTACTCGGGTTCGCTACAAATGAGCGCCAAATTTTTAGGATACTTTTTTTATTGCACCATAGAACATGTTTTATTTACCGATGGGTCTGTTATTATTTCCATTTTGTATAATATCTATGCTATTGTAATATTAACTTTTAAAAATGACTAAACATAGATACATTTGAAGTTTCTTTTGCCGTTTCTTTTCCGGTCAGAGAAGCCTCATTTCGATCAATTAAATATTGTATGTATTATTAGTATATTTTTATAAATATTATTTTTAATAATAGTTTAATTTAATATCTTTTTTTAGTTTATTTTATGATGCACGTTGCACCTATCCGTCAAAATATAAAATTACAATGTCATTTTATGATCGGTTTGTCAGGTAGAAACATTGACTTATATATTACTAGCGTAAGTAATATATAAGTCAATGGGTAGAAATCGCTTAAAGCGATATGACCACCGTTTGTAGTTTATAAGTATTCCTTTATTGTAATAACTTTGTTCAAATGCAATAAAGAGTTATATGACTATCTATCTATTAACGCTCCGTTGCAGGAGCTAACAATTGTTTAAATCTTCGTAACTATTTTTAAAATCTTTAATATATCTATATAGGTATCGAGCAAGGACGCTTAGAGATGTGGGTTGACATGTTTCCAATGGACATGCCTCTTCCGGGACCACCATTGGATATATCGCCCCGTAAACCTAAACCATACGAGATGAGAGTTATTATATGGAATACAGATGACGTAGTTTTGGAAGATGATGCTTTCTTCACCGGCGAAAAGATGTCCGACATTTATGTGAAAGGGTATGCTACAATTTATATACTAAATTAGAATTAATTAAATAGATGAGGCCTGAAAATTGGGACGATCATCTGGTTTATTTTTAAATTTTAGTATTCTTTTTACACTTTTAGTTATTATACATTATTTACAGTTAGTTATAGAACTTATTTTTTTGTATTAAAATAAAGGAGCCACCATAAATTAAACGTAATTTTTATGGCTATCGCGCGCTATATCGGTTTTATAAAAATTATATATAATTATAGTGTTCACTATCACTCTAGGTTTCATTTCAAACACTATTTGAAAATGGATCCCTATTGTGACACGTCTGCCCCACCTACTTTGGGTTTCCTCTTGTTTTTTATATTCCGTGGTCGAAACGGTAACATTCCTAAAACGGGTTTATAACTTATATTTATTAGCGTCACCTACTGGGAAACAGCTGAAATGTTTTCCTTATAATTGTTCAGCGTAGGTTTGCTATGTTTGGCTAAACAACGTCGTCACACGCGCAAGAGTTCAAATTATTTGCTTACAAATGTTTTTCAGTGCCCGCTCTATATTATACATATTTAGATCTCTTTGTTTCAGTTACTTAGCAGTCACATTACTTTAACGACATGAAGTAACTTATGCATTTCACGGGATGCCGCGGCACGCTACTGCATCACGTAACGTTTAACGTGAACCATGTGTCCATAGGTTACCTAGGTACTTCATATTGTTGAAATAATATGAGTGCTAAGTAATTGAAACAAAGTTGCATCGAGCCTATTGCGATTATATCTCAGTGAGCCCAGATGCGTCTGCTTTTGTCACGACGCTGTTTGCCACAGAATCCTTTGGCATGCTGCGGGATACCACAGGATCCTTCGACATGCCGCAGTGTACCTTACCATGCCATATCATCTGTGAGCGTAGGCCCTTAACCGTAAAACGGTTTGTACTGGTACTGGTAGACGTGTCCCCTCCGCAGAGATCGTGATCCTCGGCGACTTTAACGCCCATCACGCCGAATGGCTTGGTTCACGTTTAACCGATCATGCGGGGAGATCTGTTCATGATTTTGCCTTGGCATATGGTCTGACACAACTGGTTACTTCGCCTACGCGGATTTCAGATGTGGAGGATCATGCACCTTCCCCGTTGGACCTTCTACTGACCTCTCACCCGAACGGATATCAGATTTCCGTCGAAGCCCCTTTAGGCTCCTCGGACCATTGTTTTGTCCGGAGTGAGGTGCCACTCACGCTGAAATCGCAGTCGCATTCTGCAGGCTGCCGCCGTGTTTGGCACTATAGGTCAGCCGATTGGGATGGGATGCGGTCTTTCTTTGCATCCTACCCTTGGGGGCGGGTTTTCTTCTCGCCGGACGATACCCAACGTTGTAGCGGATTCTGTCGCTGATGTGGTACTTCAGGGTATGGAACTTTTTATTCCTTCCTCTGTGGTGCCCATTGGAGGCAAATCTCAACCATGGTTTGGTCGCTCCTGTAAAATAGTAAGTCAAAGTCAAAGTCAAAATCTTTATTTGCAGAATAAAATGTTTAGGTAATACAGGTATTTAGTATAAGAGTAAGTCTCAATAATATTCTACCGGGAGTTGTACCGGTGTGCAAATATATCTTAAAATAATCAAATTTAATTGTACATATAATATGTCAAAAAATTAAATAAATTATGTAATACATTAAATAATATTGCAATTAATTAAAATATTCCTTAACACTATAATAACACTTGTCAAGAAGCCATTTATTAATCTCAATTTTGAATTTATTCAAAGGCATTTCTTTTAAGTTATTGGGCAATTTATTATATATTTTAATAGTCATTATAGGAGCACTATTTGCATAAAATCTAGAGCTGCATTTAGCATGAAATAATCTGTTTTTATGCCTTGTTTGCCTTTCGAGAGATTCAGCGTGGGTTTTGAAGTAGTTCGGGTGTCGCTTTACAAAAATACATGTTTCTCGAATATACATGCATGGCAACGGCAATATACGTATCTTTTTGAACAAAGGCTTGCAGCTATCAAGAACACGCACCACATATCGCTCGCACACATTTCTTTTGTAATTTAAACGCTCTAATCATATCAACAGAATTTCCCCACAAAGGCAGAGCATATAATAATACTGACGACACATAACCATGATAAGCAGCTAGGGCTGCTTTTTGTGATATTGTTTTTCTCAATCTTTTTAAAGCATATATAAACCGGTTTAATTTTGTACAAATCTGGTCAATGTGAGGCTTCCAGTTTAAATTTTTGTCAATTTTTATACCTAAAAACATAACTGATTCAACATTTTCTATCTTTGAATTTTCATATTTTATATTCATATTTATAGGTTCCATTTTGTAATTCCCAATTTGTATTATTTTTGTTTTGTCAATATTAAGTAAAAGATTATTTGAATTAAGCCATGTCACAATAGTGTTAATAGAATTATTTATTTCGGTTTCATATATGTCTTTCTTGGTGCATTTAAATATAAAAGTTGTGTCGTCCGCGAACAAGATGCATTTATGATTGGTTGTTTTAGACAAGTCATTAATATATAGCAAAAATAATAAAGGTCCTAAAATACTACCCTGAGGGATACCACGGTCATTGAATCTAAACTGTGAACGATGTTGTTCTTTGGTAAATATGCTGTCTTGTCGTGCTTGCGTTAGCCAAGTGATTTCTGTGCATTGTTTTCGGCCTTGCAAGTAACTGCTTAGCCATGTGTAAGCCGTACCTCTTATCCCGTAACTTTCAATTTTTTTTAATAGAATTTTGTGGTCAACAAGATCAAAAGCTTTGGTCATATCCAGCATGAGAGCAGTTACAGGAGTTTTTATATCGATACTCTCTGCTATGTCTTTAATAAAATTGAAGCATGCTAGAGTCTGTTTTTGCGAAAACCGAATTGATCTTCAGTTAAGGTACCAAATTTTTGTATAAATTTACTTATTCTATCGTACATAGTTCTCTCAAATATCTTTGATATTACGGGGATCAAAGTTATTGGTCTATAGTTATTGAGATCTTTTTCATCTCCTTTTTTGTGAACTGGTTTTATTATAGAAATCTTAAGATGTTCCGGGAATGAGCCCTCGACAAATGATAAGTTTATAAGGAAACTCAGTGGTGTACAGATATAACAGGCACATGACTTTAGTATTTTGGTACTGAGTTCGTCGTAGCCAACTGAATTCGTGTTTTTTAATTCTTTGATTATTTTCTTAATTTCCGCTGGTTCCGTTGGTTGTAAGAAAATTGTATTTGGATTTGTATCTATATTTGGTTGAGCAGAATTTTTAGCAGACTTATTTGTATTATTGATGTGACTTAGGTCAATAAAAAAATTGTTAAATAATTCACATATCATGCCAGGGTTACTAATTGTTTGGTCATTAAATTTAATTACGTCAATTTTATTAATTTGGGTAGTTTCATTTATACTTGAATTTATTGAATTCCAAACAGCTTTGCAAGTATTTTTACTATTAAGAATGTATTTTAAGTTGGTTTTTTGTTGAGCTTTATATATGCACTTTTTCAAAAGATAGTTATATTTTTCGTATTTATTTTTATTTAACATTTTATTAGTTTTTGAGTATTTATAGGTTAGGTAAAGTTTTCTTTTCGTAATACTTGACTTTTTTATACCTTTTGTTTTCCACCTACCTCTATTACACATGTTGTTTCTCGTAAGTTTAATTATAGGAAAGCATAATTAAACTTACGAGACTACTTAGTATCATGCTATAAGCAGGAGTGCTACCGAGCCTGGGCTGACGCATCAGCGTCCCGGGATTTAAACACCAGCGCTATAAAAAAGAAGTATAATTCCGCCTCTAGGTCCTTCAAAAGAGTCATTGCTAAGGAAAAGTCATAGCACATAGGCAGAATTGGCGAGAAACTAGTTCGCCTTCCTTCTGGTACTCGTGCATTCTGGTCTCTCGCCAAGGCTGTCCAGGGGAATTTCTGTCAGCCATCTCTTCCATCTCTGCACAGGGAGGACGACTCACTGGCCCATACCGCAAAGGAGAAAGTCGATCCTCTAGGGTCTTTCTTTGCGTCCAACTCGACTCTCGATGACGGGAGGAGTACGCCGCCGACCATCCCGCGGTGTGAGTGCTCCATGCCAGAAGTGCAGTTCACACAGCGCTCGGTTCGCAAAGCACTCCTCCTCCTCCACAAGGCGAGTGAGCCTGACGGAATCCCCCCAATTGTGCTGAGGACGTGTGCTCCAGAGTTGGCACTGGTTTTAACGCGTCTTTTCCGGTGCTCCTACTCCCTAGGCATAGTCCCAAAATCATGGAAGACGGCTTTCGTCCACCCGATCCCTAAAAAAGGCGACCGCGTAGACCCGTCCAATTACCGGCCCATCGCCATCACCTCCTTGTTGTCCAAAACAATGGAGTCCATTGTAAACTGCCAGCTCATGATATGGTACCTTGAGGATCACCAGCTGATTAGTGACCGCCAATACGGTTTTCGCCGTGGTCTTTCAGCTGGTGATCTTCTGGTCTACCTAACTCACAGATGGGCGGAGGCAGTAGAGTCCAAGGGGGAGGCATTGGCCGTTAGTTTGGACATTGCGGAGGCCTTCGATCGGGTTTGGCACAAAGCGCTTCTTTCGAAGCTCCCTTCCTACGGGCTTTCCGAGAAATTGTGCGATTGGATCACCAGCTTTCTTGCAGATCGGATCATCAAGATCGTTTTAGACGGTGCAAGCTCCGATTGCAAGCCTATTAATGCTACTAATGGTGTTCCACAAGGCTGCGTGCTATCGCCAACGCTGTTTCTTCTGCATATCAATGATATGTTGCAAACCCGTAACATTCATTGCTATGCAGATGACAGCACTGGTGATGCTCTTTACACCGGCCGAGCCAATATTTCTCGGGAAAATGTCTCCGAGTGCCGGGACAAACTTGTGTCTGAAGTCGAGTCCTTGCTGAACAGAGTCTCGGATTGGGGGCGACTAAATCTAGTCCAATTTAACCCCCAGAAGACACAAGTTTACGCGTTAACCGCTAAAAAGAATCCCTTTGTCGTTTGTCGTTCGTTTCAAGGCACTCCCCTTGTTGCCTCAGCCAGTATCGGAATCCTCGGCGTTGACATATCGAGTGACGTGCAGTTTCGTGGTCACTTGGAAGAGAAGGCCAAATTGGCCTCTAAAAAGCTTGGCGTGCTCAGCAGAGCGGGACAGTATTTCATGCCGGCACACCGCCTGCGACTTTACAAGGCGCAGGTTCGGCCGCACATGGAATACTGTTCCCATCTCTGGGCTGGGGCTCCCCAGTACCAGCTTCTTCCACTTGACCGCATCCAGCGCAGAGCGGCTCGAATCGTCAACGACCAAGTGCTTTCCGATCGGCTCGATTCACTGGCACTGCGAAGAGATGTTGCATTTTATTTCGCATATACCATGGAGAGTGCTCTGAGGAATTGTTCGGATTAATCCCAGCCGCCAAATATCGTGAACGCACTACGCGGCAAACGTCCCGATACCATCCACACCATCTGGATGCTTGGCGGTCCACCACAGTACGTTTCAAAAGGAGTTTTCTTCCGCGTACAACCTCTCTGTGGATTAGTTTACCACCGGCGATTTTTCCGGACCGATACGACCTGGGGACCTTCAAGAAAAGAGCTTACTCCTTTCTAAAGGGCCGGCAACGCACCTGCAATTCCCCTGGTGTTGCGGTGGATCATGGGCGGCGGCAGTCAACATCAGGTGAGCCGCATGCTCGTTTGCCCCCTCTTCTATAAATAAAAAAAACAAAAAAGACGTATTATAAGCATAAATATATTATTTTTAATAACTACCATCATAAAATTGGTAAAATTAAAGATAAGAACTAAGTACCTACATATATTGTACCTTACACACATGCTTACAATATTCATCATTGTATTATTAGCGACATGACGACAAACGGAAGGTGTACGGTTAGTAATGTGTATGCGCGTTTCATAAATAGGCTGCTTAGTTAGACAGTATGGAAGTTCATTTAACTTATTATTTATTTTTATAAACTTAACGTAACTTTCTTATTTAGTGATAAACACATTTAGGTGGCAACTTTTAAGGTGGCAACCCCTTAGGACTATTTGTCAAGTTTCTCAATCATGGAGTGTAGAGATAAGGAGAACCAACTCACATATGAGAATAGTGTCCATCTGTAAGCAGTAAATAACAGTTCAAAAACTCTCCACGACAGCGCTGATAGAGGGTAGAGGGTATGAAATGAACTTTGCAGTTGTCAACGGAGTGAAATGTGCTGAGTTGAGAAATTCAATATTTGTGATGACTAAAGTAGTTGATAAAACTGCATTATTTAAAACCTCAACGACTCACGTTGTCTAAAATAATTAAAAAATATAACAGAAAAAACCGCCGTAAAACACGTAAGAGTAATTTTGAAAATAAAAATTTTGAAAACAATAAAAAAAGAATTAAGGTAAAAGTCAGTGCAATAAAATGTTATTAAAAATTTTACCCTCTAGCTACAGTGGCGCCACTCTTATTTAACGCTTTCCTACGGACACTTTTTACGACGGCGGCACTGAAAATTTCGGGAATCAAAGAAGTGACACAACATTACTATTTAAAAATGTATTTATTGCTTTTCCAAGTATTCTCCGCGAAATTTGACACATTTTTCCATACGATGGAACCAATCATTGAAGCAACCATTCCACTCGGAAGTTGGGGTCTCCAAAATGGCCGTTTTGTAGGCGTCCACAGCTTCTTCAGGTGATGAAAATCTCTGTCCACGCAATTTATTCTTTATTTTAGGGAAAGTATAGAAATCATTAGGGCTTAGGTCGGGGCTGTACGGCGGATGGTCTAATAATTCTATGTTTTTTTGCTCTTTTGTTCTGTGTGCGGTGTGAGAACTCGCATTGTCGTGATGGAGGATGATGCGGCGGTTGCAGTTCTCTTTACGGAGTTCAGAAACGACCTGTGGCAAACAAATGCTAGGATATCATTCTGCATTAACCGTTCTTTGTCCCTCAAGAGGAATAGTCGTAACATGGCCGGTTTTGGAAACAAACGTAGCCACCATTTTTTTTGCAACACTCCGTAAACGAACAATTTTTGTTGGCTTTAACTCATTTTCGAACACCCAAATTCGTGACTGGTCTTTTGTTTCGGGTTCGTACGTGTATATCCGGGATTCGTCACCTGATACAATGTTGTATACAGCATTTGAGGATCCTGCGTGGAATCTTTCGATAGTTCGTTCGAAAATACTGAAACTGGAAGAAGGGTCAGGATTAACTGAGGTCCGCAGAGAGGGGAGTGTGAGATTCAATCACTGGAAAGGCGGCTATCTATCCCAAGGAAGTATCGAATTTAACGACGACACGTCTCTTGTTTTAACGTTGTGAAGATTAGGAGTGTGTCGGCACTGTAGTCGTAATGTCTATTCTTTGAAGGCCGTACAGGTTTACGCACTAACCTAAGCACATCCTAATGAGGAGGTGGAGGATCCTTATGAGGATATATATGAAGATGCCTCTAGAGTTACGAAATGCTCTCCAATCACACTCTTAATCTTATAGCTGTAAGAAAATAAAACTGACAACTGAACAGACAGATCTCTAAATACATGCAGTAAGACTTATGCAATTTCAATACAGTTCGCATTAAAGAAGCGATTGAGCGAAACCAATGCTCCAGTTTTCGCCAGAGTTCTATCTTTTCCTTCTGAGCCGCGTTTACTTGCGTGTGTGTACAGTACTAAATATGAGAAAGCCTTCTATCCCATTAAAAATCGGGCGGTGCTCAATGCTTTGCAATCTGTTCAACGGTGCCAGAATAACTCCAAGTTCTGGTGCATGTCCAGTAGAGCTCCAATGGCTACCTGAGTACAGAGGCATGGTAAGATATCTATCCGGTGTGGCGTTATATCCCCGAAACTCTTCACCGCTATATTGCGCGACGTTTTCGAATTAATGGACTGAAAAATATTGCTACGCCGACGATGTAGCCAATATGGTAGAATCGACCTGATGCCTCAGCACTATGCTCAGTAACCTCAATAGTCTCACAGCGTAAAAGTCTTAAAAAGAGCATGGACAAGATACAGATCATGGAATGCTAAAGTCACACCTTTTCCGATGTTATTTCATTCGAAGTTGTTAACGAGTGTGTTTACCTAGGACAAATAATCCAACCATGAAAGTTCAACTTCGACCGAGAGGAAAATCGACGGATTCAATTCAGGTAGGCAGCGTTCGGAAGATTAGAACACATCTTCCCGTCATGTGTTTCTCAAAACTTGAAAACGAATGTACAACCTGTGAGGGTTCCCTATAGGGTTATTCAGTTTATCCACCCTAATAAATCTATCCAAGGGTGGATACCTGGAAACGCGTGTTCATCTATCCACCCCAGACGGGATGGATAATCGGAATTCTTATATTATATTATTTTTCTCCTGTTTTCTACCTCGGCTGTGTACAGTAATTTAGAGAAAATGTTAAAAACTGGTCCAAGTATTTAGTAGATATTACTTATTAATATATATATATATATATATATATATATATATATATATATATATATATATATATATATATATATAAATCTTGTTTGGAAAGTCAACGGTGAAATAAGAGGTCTGAAAGAAGGTAAGAATCTCGATATGAGACAACGTAAAATGAAGTTAAATGCAACCATCCTATAATAACGTTTTTCGAAAACTAGCAATAAAGCTCACAGTTCTTCGCTAACACATCTGTTGTAACAAAAAAAATTTAGAAAACTATTGCAAATGTACGTTAAAAGTGGTGAATTTACCCAGGATATCAAATTACGTCAACTCAATAATGAAATTCGTGTTGTACCTAATTGCCTGGACATATTATTGCAGAATTTTTAAATTACCTACGATATTTAAAACGAGGAAGTTTAATTTGATTCAAGTGCAGTAAGTAATGCATAGACTAATAGGCTGTAACAGTAACGGTAATGGTAATACGTAAAATTTTAGTTTTTTTTTTTAATTAAGTGTGTGGTTTTTAAAAATTAATTAATAATTAAAGTGTATGTGTTCAACTGTACTTGGGGTGAAAGTTGGAAGAACAAATAAAAATGAATTCCGATTATTCACCACGTCTGGGTGGAAAGATGAACACGCGTTTCCGAGTATCCACCCCAGCATTCTTAGGATGAATAAATGGAATAACCTTCCCTGTGTCATCGATGACACATGGTTCTTAACCGCTCGCCGTATGAGAAAGCTCATGGTAAGGTTCCTTGCATGATAGAATTCAAAATGAAGATAACCGCGGTAGAACCAGAATAACCAACATAGCCTAAAAATCAGTAATACGAAGTGGCAATGGGTATTGAAATACCGATAACCGATAGAGAAAAAAGTTCTCAAGTGGCAGTTACATACCGTTTAATGAAGTGTAGGGCGCCTTTCAACTAAGCGGAGGTGACAACTTGGTACGAGTAAGACATGCAGAAAATCGTTTTATGTTAGCTTAGGGCATTCCTTTGTGGTATTTCTTTGAGAGTTATTCATGGGGATGTTGAAGAGAGGCTTATGTTTAACGATGGACATTTTTAGTACTGTAGCGATGTTGATGAAAAATAATAACTAAATTTGTTTTTTTTTCCACAGTTGGCTTAAAGGCCCTGATGATTGTCAGTGCACGGATATACATTATCGGTCCCTAACTGGAGAAGGCAACTTTAACTGGCGTTTCATTTATCCATTCGATTATTTGGAGGCTGAAGAACGCATTGTGATTTCTAGAAAAGAATCAGTTTTTTCTTGGGATGAGACTGAATGCAAAATTCCGGCTCGCTTCGAGCTGCAAGTGTGGGATTCAGACCATTTTTCTGCTGATGATTTCTTGGGTAAAATTTCATTAAACATATTAATTTATATTATTTATATTTAATTAAACATATTATTTATACTGACCTCTGTTCAGCAGTGGACTCGTGAAGGGTTGTAATGATAATGATTAATTTATACAGTTGATCTTTATTATTTAAAAATTGTAAATGAAATATTAATGTAACAATGTTTATTTGCAGGAGCTATTACACTAGACTTGAATAGATTCCCCCGTGGGGCAAAATCATCTAAGTTATGTACTCTGGATATGCTTAGTAATGACGGCAGGGTCCCAATGGTAAACATATTTAAACAAAAGCGCGTAAAGGGCTGGTGGCCTTTCTACATTAAACGTGACAATGAGAAAATGGAACTAACAGGCAAAGTAGAGGCAGAAATACATCTCTTAACACGTGAAGAAGCTGACAAATTACCAGCTGGTCTAGGACGCAATGAACCGGATCCTTTGGATAAACCAAAGTTGGTAGCATTATATTTGGTTATTTATACAACTTAGGGTGACAAACGTGTACAAAGTACACCTGATACTAAGTAGGTTCAATGACCGATTAACCTAAATAATATATGCCTATTTCGAGGATAATTTAAAATGCATCGTTACTTCTTTATTAACAAAAACAATCTTCGGTCTGTACTCACCAAACACAACATGGTAGCACTATCCTGCTATTTTACGCTGGCATTCAACCATAATCAAGATGCAGCGTGGCTGACTCCATCACGCATTACGTTTACTTGTAGCTCATTTGTAAATTGAGCACCCAATCAGCTGAGCACCGCCTTTCTTCAAGTGATTGTAACTTTTATATGCACTTTTTTGCTATCACTATAGTAGACGCAAGCACGTGCGGTGGTCGCGGCCATATAACACGTGAACAATGATATTGCACTCCCTCTTGCTTTAGACTTACTATGGAAGGTTAAGATACATCTCATTATTTTAACCATGAAGGTTAGAGAACAAGAGAACGATCGCCGTAGAAAATAGTGTCCCAGAAATATGGACACCATAAGTGAGGCGCTGCGATCACTAAGTTCAGTCAATAAAAGTCAATTTCAGTCTATTTTTCTGATCAGATGCTAAACGCTAATGCACATCCACACACAATAAAATATTTCTCCATTTTTTAATGTTTCTTTTTGTCAAAAATTACAAAATTACGGAGCATGAAAATTTTGTCACCAATGCCGCGGAGAAAATTTGTACATTATTCAACTAACTTCATCTACTTGTACTCATAAACAGCTAACTTCGCAGTCACTACTCACTGACGTCAGCGCCGCTATACATTCTACAATTTTCAAGAACGGGCGGGCTATGCTTTAGTACGTAGTGATCGTTCTCCTGTTCTCTAAACTTCGATTAGATTTTAACGGTAACGCTAATAACACAACAACGACAACTATTCTGCCACTAGGGCGGCGCCACTTGGAATGTGGTGAAATATTTGACGGATTTCATGACAGCAATGTTAATTTGTTAAGAAAATGTAAGGATCAATGTTTCTTTGTGTAATATTAATTATATTTATAGTAATGAGATAAGAAATTAATAAACCAAACTATGGATATTCCCAAAAGTTAATAATTAAAATAAACAATCAGAAATGAGTAAAAATTAAAAAGCAAACCACTGTGGCATTGTTTTGCGTATTAATATTACTCTAGAAACTAATAAACTTTTATTCTCAATTAATTGACTTTGTGTAATAATAAAACTTCACCTCTGTCCCCACTAGCGACATCTAGTGAACTGAATATTATTAGCTGTCAATATCAGTTACTTTATATAAAATACAATTTTTAAGTTTAAGAGGTTGTTATTACCATACATTTATAATCAAACTTTAATTATAAGGAAACGGCACAGATATCATTTGAAATAAAATAAATAATTCTTTTAAATATTTTATAATATATTATTATGATGTCGATGAGTCTTAAAGGATACAACGATTAGAAATTTAAAAACAAACTGGAAATTACTTTTTCAGACATCTATGGTTGTCTAAGCCCCAACGCTTAATCGTTTCATGGCCGGGACAGCCAATACCGTTGGCGTCTACTTACTATAATCAGCCTCGTGTCAACGCCGGATCGATTGACTGATATATGAAAATATACTATTGTCAGCACAAAATTACCGATATAAGTATTGAAATATAGGAACGGAGGTCACATCGGCACAGACATTTTACCATTACAGTAGTATAATAAGTTTATGTTCATCCCCCATAAATTGTCCCTTTAATATCAAAGAAATGACGCAATGACAGAGATTATGTATTTATTTTACAGAATAAGGGTGACAAGCGAGCACACAGTCAACCTGATGGTAAGTGGATGCTGTGGTCCATAGACATCTACATTTATCCTTGATCAAAATTCGAAACGAAGATAATGTGTTATGACTCCTGCGAACTAGGATAGAATGCCTCGTATCCAGTAAAAAGCATGCCCTTTATATATTTGGATCCCTACGTGTACCATATTCCCCACTCGAGCTGACCCATTCGAGCCACAAACAATATAGCTGGAGTGTACTTCTACCACGTTTTACATGGGATAATAAAATCTATGACATGTGAGTTTGCTTTTGAACTTTTGATATTATACATCACGTTGTGTAAATAACTGGCGCCGAATGCCGATTGGGTTCCGTGAGCGACGACTTTTAATGGAAAACGTTACGTCTAATTATTACTGACATCAGACTGCAAAGTTTCTAAATTTCTAAATTTGTATTTTATTGCTTCAGCCGCCCGGATGCATCTTTTATGTGGTTCCTCAATCCGCTTAAATCCATCCGATACATCGTCTGGCATAATTACAAGTGGACAACAGTGAAGGTATCTGCAGTGATATTTGCGGCCGTCATGATACTGTTGCTCGTTTATGCAGTCCCAGGATATACAGTCAAGAAACTCCTAGGAGCTTAAATGGAATATTTATTCAACTAAATGTATTTGTGTGTTTAATGTAGTGAACACCTACATGTATTAATATTTAAAATTTTCATTCATTTAATAACCAACATGCATGTTTCGAAACTAAAACTTACGTGTATCTCAATGTACTACATATTACATTTAATAAAGATTAATACATTATATAGAAATTTTATTCCACAAAACATTAACAACAGTACAAAAACTTTGACCATAAAATAATCAATTTGAGGGATACCTGTTTTTAAATGTATACTATGGAATAATTTAGATAGGCCTAGGTTAAGGTGGGGGTAAAGATAAAATCAGCAGCGTCGACGACGGCGACGACGACGACGGCGGCAGCAGCAACTGCGCCGGCGACGGATGCGGCGTCGTCTTCGCCGACGGCAACAACTCCTCGCCCTGCGTCTCCTCCGTCCACACGCCATTGCTTGCGGCTCCCAATTTAAGTAATGAGAACCCTTCCTCTCCAAAAAGCCTAATGCGGCCCCATTTTCTAGGATCTTCTCCACATTTCGATTCAGCTCATCAGAGTTCTCTTTCCCATAATTTGTTCGCAAGTGACTCAAAATTTCAGATAACGTAGCGCCTTCTTTAGCTTCTTGGAGAAATTTGATAATCATTCGACCAGGAGGACCCTCGGTAGGCTTACAATCTGCTACTTCTTCCGCCGCCATTCTTAAATTCAATTCAAAGCCGGTAATTACGTAAATTTAGTTAAGCATTGCTTACTATTTTCTTTAAATTTCGTATATCCAAAAATCTTATGGCTTAATTTATCAGTCAAACATACTCAATAAAATTTCAATTACAGAAATATGCTTCTTTTGTTTTTGATGTTCTATAGCATTTTCTTTTTCATCATGCACTTTTATCTAAAAAGGTTGGTTTTAATTTCAAAATTATCAATATATAAGTTTAAAAAATATCAAATGATATAAATTAAATTATATACAATAAATTAATTTAAAAAAATTATTATAACATACGTTAAAAAATAAAAAAGATAAATAAATAATTTCTACATATCTTCTGAAGTTGGTGTTCGACATTTTAAAACTTCCTTGCATATTTTTCTACGGCTACGAGTAAAATTTTAATTCTTAAAATTTATATGAATATCATATCGGCTCAGCCGTTTCCGTGAAATCGGTAAACATAGTACAGAAAAACATTGTATAATATAACTATAATATAACTTCCCGTTTTTAGAACTTGGTTAATAATATCGGCAACAGAAAACGCAAAATATAATATACCATCTTCATATTGCTTTCAATAATTATGTCAATATCTTATTCTTTGTGTATAATGCCCAAATACTCAATCGATACTCAACTTTAAGACGTCGTTAATACTCGTGCTGTCTCGTATAACTTTAAGTCAAAGTTACTATAACACCACAAAACTTTAGGGCCTATAATACCTCAAATGGCTTAGCAAAATCCTCCGTAATGCCAAAATATTGCAGCATTAATTTTGAAATAAATATAATGGTAAAGTTGAAGATTAATGTTAAGGACTATGGACGTGTTAGACGAAAACACGATTCCGTAAAATTTTCTCGATACAAAAAAAATCCAAAGTTACCTCCAAACCGAACAATAAACCGCTGGTATGCACAAAATACTTTAAATTAGATCATGAAACTTTGCATACTAACTGAACTAACTATAAAGTAGGGCTTATGTTTTTTTTTTCTTTATTGAATTACCATTATTTTCACTGGCAAAAGAAACTACCTAAGCTATCGGCGTCCTGAAGTTCCCTGCCTTCCGATACTCCCTCCCTCCTCGGCTTTTGAACGAGAACGCTTAGTCGCTTACGATCGAAATACATATTGCGTAACAGGACGACGTAAAATTAAAATCGAAAATGACCGTAATAAAAATAAGAATCGATCTTCTTTACGCCATGTAAAGAAACAGGCATAAATATGATAAACCTAATGAAATAAGTATCTAACGATCTATCTATTTACAGTATTAGTGATTACAAACATGTAAGTACATAGCATATGACGAGCGGGGAGGTGGATGCGAAATTAGAATTTGAGCTGAGGTTTTATAGGCCCTTAACGACATCTTAAAATTGAGTAGCAATTTTGAGTATGAGACCATTGGTGTCCAATCGAAGGACGATTTCTTATCGTAGCCGAAGTCGAAGCCGAAGTACATAATCCTAAGAAATCCAGTTCAAGATTGGCTAAAATTTATAAATACATACAACCGGTGTGCCAGCAAGAAATATTGTCCAGCTCTGCGGAGAAAGTGAACGTGGAATTGTATGTCATTCGAAATTTCAATGCCGAGAACTCCGATAGTGGTTGAGACAGCGTGGGAATTCACCTGAAATTTAGAAGATACGATAAAGGGGTCCTTTTTAATGGTAAACGCGCAAACCTGTAACTTCTGAAATTTAAACTAGACTAGAATCATCTCCAATACGAGATTTTATTAAGAACTCTTATTAAGAACCTAGCAATAGTCTTAGAGAGAGAATTTCACACACAAGTTTGTTCCCATATTCGATTTTTCAGAGAAATATTAACACAGCCGGTGTAAAAAGCATCACAAATATTACAACCAGTAACAGTAACATATAATTAATGTTTTTTTATATAGGATAAGGTTACAAACGAGCACACAGTCCACCTGATGGTAAGTGGTTGCTGTGGACCATACATAGACGTCTACATTTATCCTCGATTACGAATCAAAATGCAGATGCGTTGTCACCCGTGAGGACTAGGATGGAATGCCTCGTTTCCAGTAAAAAGGGTCTCCGGTTCTTTATACTCACCATAAGAAACACCGCAGCATTAAGCTCCTATTTTACGCTGGTATTCTGTGAGAGGGTGGTCCTTCCCCGGTCGAGCCGACCCATTCGTACTGCAACTATACTACTAATATAACTGCAGCATGGTAATTATAGCAAAGTAATGTACAGAAGAAACAGCGAAGGGAAATAGTAAAATATATAATAAGTAGTCCTAGTATGCCGGTGCATTAATCTACTACGACCTTGATGCTCCGATCTACAAGAAAACTGCATTGATGCTCCAATTGCACAATTTCTCGGGAAGCCCATAGGAAGGAAGCTTCTAAAGAAGCACTTTGTCTCAAAACCCATCGAAGGCCTTCGCTTCGTTCAAAGAAACGACTAAGAATTCCCTCTTGGACTCTACCGCTTACGCTCATCTAAGAGGCAGGTAAATTAGAAGATTAGAACTAGAAACAGCTGATTTGTAACCGCATTGGCGGTCACTAATTAGCTGGTGGTCTTTAAGGTACGTTATGAGCTGACAGTTTATGATGGATCCATTATTTTGGAGAACAAGGAGGCGATGGTGATAAACCTGTAGCTAGACGAGTCTGAGCATTCGCTTTTTAGGGATTGGATGCACTAAAGCTGTCTGCTATAAGCTCAGAATTACGCCTAGGGGGTACCTCTCCCCATTTCTACCAGAAACGACGCATTAGAAATGGTACTAACTCAGGGGTACTTTTCCCCGTTTCTACCAGAAAAGACGCATTAGAACTAGTACTAACTCGGGAGCACCCTCCTTCAGCACAATAGGAGAGACTACATCAGGCCCACCCGACATGTTGATGTCCAGGGAGAGGAGTATTTTGCACACTGAGATGGATGGGTGGCGGTACACCCCTCCGTCACCAAGAGTCGAGCTGGAGTCAAAAAGAGAACCTAAAATGATTGAAAATTTATATATTTTTATTAAAATAAATGATTTTATTTTGCGACATGAGCCAGAGATGACTGACAGAAGTTGCCTTAGACAGTTTTGCCAACACCTTAATAAAATTAGAGATAGAGAAGAGAGCTTGAGCAGTTTAAATATTTGAATCACTTCAAGTCAGTCAACGAAATATGAAAAGTACCAAATAATTCAAAGTCTTATTTTTACAATATATTTATCAGTTTTGTACCACAAATATATAGAAAGAGTCTATAGAGTATATAGAGAGACTCAATAACAACGAATCTGAATACGAGAAAATGTTTTGTCTTATCATTTAGTAACAAGAAGCACAGACTTACATTTGAGTATAAAATAAATGGACAGGTACTTGATAGAAAATTCGTAGTTAAGGGTCTTGGAATACTGTTTGATGAAAAGCTTACGTTCCGCGATCATTACGATCATGTGATATCTAAAAGTACAAAACTTCTTGGCTTTATATTTAGAACTGCAAAGATTTTAAAAATCCACGAAGCTTTCTTATTTTGTACTATTCCCTAGTACGCAGCATTTTAGAGTACAACATAATTATTTGGTTTCCATACTACGCTGTCCACGTAGATCGTATTGAACGTGTTCAAAAGAAATTTCTATCAATCATCTGCTATAGTTACGGTTTAAATAGAAGTCTGCCCTCCTAAGAAGAGAAACTGAAAAAGTTTAACATTATATCACTACAAACTCGATGTAAAATCAGGATATGACTTGCCTTTTCAAAATTATTCATTCCCTTATTGATTCCCCCCACCCTCCTTTCATTTGTCAAGATTAATACTAAGCCCCATCGTCGGTATACTTTCCTAAATACTTTCGCTTTGCAAGTTTATAAAAATAATACGTCCTATTACAATCCTCTTGTAAGAATGTGTCGCCTATATAATGACTTATTGATTAATAATAGTAAAAATATAGACATTTTTAATAACAAATTAAACAATTTCAAAAAATCCGTATTAGATATATTTTGTAAATAAGGCATTCAAGGCTTAAAATTTAAATTTAAATGTATAGGTAAATGAACATTATTTTAATAAAGATTTAATTTTTCAAAATTTTCCACAACATAAGTTCATAAGTATAGTATGTTTATAAGTAAGGTTATAATTATTTGTGCTGAAAAATCGTTACTGTTACTTAATATCATGTTGTGTGCACATGTTTTAGAATTTACATTCAGATTGTACTGTACAGAACTTTGTATTTATTATTTTCAATTGTTCATGTTTTG